CCAGTCTGGCTATCGACTATTGGAGCATTTTCTTATCCTATAATATATAAAAAGGAACGAACAGTTAGATATGGTGAAATATTAAATGAAAAGGGTGAACTTAAATCTATACAAAAATTAGATGAATTGGTTTTCATATGCGCAAATACATTCAAGGTATGACAAAGACTCTAAAACAGAAGGTTTCTATGATAAATCGACTGATTTAGATAAGATTTTGACAGGTACTGATGAAAAGGTGATTAAAAAATTGTATGGATATTTATTAGAAATTAAACTAGAAGAAGAACAAGTTAAAGAAACAATGATTGCTTGGGGGAAGAATTTTGGATATGGGATTGATCTAGAGAAATGGCAAAAATTGTGGTCTCAAAATTATAAAATGACAATGTCAACAGCATATAAAGAAAATTTGTATAAGATGTTTTACAGGTGGCATTTTCCCCCGACAAGAATAGCAAGAATGTTCAAGAACAAATCTGAAAAATGTTAGAAATGTCATCAGATACCTGGCTCATATTACCATATGTGGTGGACTTGTGCGGATGCTAAAAAATATTGGACTAAAATCCACACATGGTTGGAAAAAATGACAAAAAAGCATATAGATTTGAAACCAGAGATATTTTTATTGGGAATTTTACCTGAAATATATAGTAAAGAATTGAAATACCTGATTGTAAATGTATTAACAGCGGCTAGGATTGTATTTGCTAAAAATTGGAAAAATGAGAAAAGGAAATCATTAAGAAAATATTGGAATGTGCTGAAATGAGTAGATTGACATTTGAAATCAGAGAACAAGATGATAAACAACTTTATAAAATTTGGGATCTTTTCTATCAATGGTTAGACAATAAAGTACAGTAATGAAATATGTAGACTTTTAGAAAATAATAAATATATAAAGAGGTATTCTTTTCTTATTATATCTACAAAATGATTGTAGGATAGATTTGAGATGATAATATGAACTGTCATAAAACAATTTAAGTTAAATATGATTATTTCGTAAAACATGAATGAATAAAAGTATAGTCAAATGATTAACAATGATATTAATGTATTTAATACTTGATTGAAAATATGAGAATATATACAATGTAATTATAATTGAAGACTATGAAATGGAAGCACAAAACAATTTGTAAACCAACCAGCACACTGTATGTATATATAGGGAAGATGGCTTGATGTTTTTATGTTTTGTTTGTCTATGTTCATTTTAAAAACCAATAAAAATTAAAAAAAAATAGAAATCTGAGCATGATGGAGTTTTAAAGGGAACAGCCATTGCATATGGGTAGTCCCACACTTGCCAGAAGAGATCTTGATCCAGTGGCCTGGAGAAACATTATGTCTGGAGACTTCTCTTGCTAAGAGGATGACCAGGATATTAGTATCTTTTTAGGCAACACCTGCTGGGTCTGTCTGCTTGACTGACGGTTGATCATTCTTCTCTGCTCAATCTGCTAGGGTCAGTGTTCACACGATTGGATGGACAAATCTAGTATCTCACAGAAAATTGAAGAACCATCGGCTATTCTCACCTGGTTTTGCTGTTGATGAGATAGCTTGTCAGGGTATGGCCAGTGCACATATTACAGCTACTTGGAGCCACAGCGGAGACCTGAGTGCCAGGTGGGGACCAAAGGGGAACAAATAGCCCTGAAAAGTGTGTCGCTGGCCCCTCCACCAGAGATGTTACACCTCTACCTCCCTGAACACCCCACCCAACAACCTAATGTATTATTCCAATCTTTCAAATTGAAAAAATGAAAGATCCAAGTGAAAAACTCTTAATTTCATCTTTTTTTCCCCTTAGTACTACCCAAATTATTTTTTTTTCATATTTGTCAGTAGTAATTCCATGCCTGGTATTTGCAGAAAATATACATTCAGAAATTTACACTCACTTAGATAAAATATCTAGTTTCACTGAAGAGTAAACTAACCAAAACAATCACCTACTAGATTTTTTTTATATATAGTCGTGTTTATTAAACAGTTTACTCTGGTCCATAAGTACCAGGCAGAGAGGCCAGATTCAAATTTCACCTCTCCACTTTTATAATTGGTCAGAAAGTAAATTCAAAAAAGGCAAGAAAATTCAGTCTCGATATGAAGTGTTACTTTTTTTTTACAAATTTCATCCCATCTGATAATTTTTGTAGATTAGTTGCAAAAGAATCTTTCTAGCCAATGATGTGAGATCATTCTAAACAGAAGCCAAGACTCCGATGAAGAGTTATTGAGCATTTTTGCTCATTATCAGCAGCAGTGAACATGAAAATCGAATAGCAATAGTACCCTCTAGTGGTTATACAACTATAACATATATGCTAGTTTTTAATTTTCAAATTTCAATTCTTAGTCTGCTAGTCCTATATCTACATAACTGCATAATGTCCCATCTTGGAAAGGCTTCCTCATTCATTTCAAAAGGATAGTTGCTTTCATTGCTTTACTTGTATGAATAGGTCTGTGTGAAATAGGACATAAATAAAGAAATTTGTGACGATGGGGTATACAGACTCAAATCCATGCATCAATTCAAAGCAAGTACAGGTAGTTCTTGACATACAATAGTTCATGTAGTGACTGTTCAAAGTTACAATGGCACTGAAAAAAATAACTTATGACCATTTTTCACATTTATGACCATTGCAGTAGCCCCATGGTCACATGATTTACTTTCAGATGCTTAACAACTGGGTCCTATTTGTGACAGTTGTAGTGTCCTGGGGTCATGTGATCCTCTTTTGGAAACTTCTGACAAGCAAAGTCAATGGGGAAGCCAGATTCATTTAACAACCATGTTACTAATTTAACAACTGCAGAGATTCACTTAGCAAAGGTGGCAAGAAGGGTCGTAAAATGGAGCAAAACTCACTTAACAAACATCTCACTTAGCAACACAAATTCTGGACTCAATTGTAGTTGTAAGCTGAGGACTACCATTTATTTTATTTAGAAGATTACTGATTCTTTTTTAGAAACAAATAAAACAGTGTGCCAAGGAAATAAAATCATAATAATCATCTAGTACAAGACTGATTCAGGTATAATGCAATATAAATTTTAAAAAATTATTGCTTCCTGCAGGAAAACTTTAATAGGGAGATCAGGAAATGTTTGTAAAAATACATATCACAAGCTGGGGCAGAGAGATGATCTACTAAGAAGGCCAGTAACCTGGAATCTACATACACAGAGTACATACTGTTACTATTCCATTTTGAAGTAAGCAACTTTTGTGCAAAGTACATAAAAGTATGAAACAGGAATTGAAAGGAATTGCCTCATAAAGCAAGAAGAGCAAAAAAAAATCCTTCTAAATGTAATCTATACCAAGTTATTCACTGTATCCTTCTAAGTCTTTTTATACTTGCAAGCCATGTTTGCTTCTACCACCTCCACAGATTCAAAGTTCCTTTTGTTCCTTAAATTTCTTTTTGAGGTTCTCAACTCCATCTATCAGGAAATTTCTGTTAGGACATTTCCTATCAGTGAGAACAAATCTAACCATAACTTTTTTAGTCTTCCCCTTTCTCTCAGTTATAATACAATCTGCATTCAGTCTGTCCATATGACCAAACCATTTCAAAATAGTTCTTTCAAAACTGACAATTCAGGTTTGTATTCAACCCATATTCACTCAACCTCCATTCATTCTTGACTCTATCATTTCTTATGTAAGATCTTGATGCTAGTATACAGGTAAAACTAAAAAAATTAGAATATCGTGCAAAAGTTCATTTATTTCCGTAATGCAACTTAAAAGGTAAACCTTTTTTATATGAGATAGATTCATTACATGCAAAGCAAAGAGCTGAGGGCTGCTATTGAAGCATCCTGGTCTTCCATAACACCTCAGCGGTGCCACAGGCTGATAGCTTCCGTGCCACGCCGCATTGAGGCAATAATTGCTGCAAAAGGGGCCCAAACTAAGTACTGAGTACATATGCATGCTTATACTTTTCAGAGGTCCGATATTGTTCTATGTACAATCCTTGTTTTATTGATTGCATGTAATATTCTAATTTCCTGAGATTGTGGATTTGGGGTTTTCATGAACTGTAAGCCATAATCATCTCAATTATCTTACTTTGCATGTAATGAGTCTATCTCATATATTAGTTTCACCTTTTAAGTTGCATTACTGAAATAAATGAACTTTTGTACGATATTCTAATTTTTTGAGTTTCACATGTAGGACAACATTGGCTATTTGGCAGCTCAGCACACTCCTGGCTCATATTTAAGTGGTAGTCCACTAAGATTCCTAGATCCCTCTCACATACTACTGTTGAGCCAGGTATTATATCCTGTTCCTATACATTTGTTTTTTTCTTGCCTATGTGCAGGGTCTTATTTTTCTCACTACTGAACTGCATCTTGTTGGATAGGGCCTAATGTTCAAGTCTATCAAGAACCTTCTGAAACTTGAATCTATGTTCCAAAGCATTCAAAATTCCCCCCCCCCCCCAGCTAAGTGTCATCAACAACTTTGATGGGTTCCCCTTCTATCCCCCTCATCTAAATCATTTTTGAAGATATTGAAAAGCATTGGATCAAAACAGAACTTTGAGGTACCCCTACATGAGGGAATTGTCATTTCCTTGGGATGTATTTGATACAATATGAGTTGCAAAACGCTTCTCACCAGATTGGTGTATTACTTTTAGGTAGTCTAAGCTTGGCTTCGTTTGTACAGTATGTATAAAGGAGGGGAGCACCAAGATTTGTCACTGAGCCTTAATCCGCCACTGGGTGGAATGATTTTTCCAAAATGGTCTGATTTATTCCAAAAATATTCTCCCTAGTGCTAAAAAAACCAACAACCTAGTGTAAAACTCACACCTCACCTCACCTCCTGATTTTTTTTTTTTTTCCTGACGGGAAAGGTCGCAGTTTGCCTATAATGCTGCCATGCTAATTGAAGTGAGGAGGGTTTACTTTATATTTTTGAAAAAGGGATTAGGTTTCGCATGGTAAAAACTGAGAACAGGATCTCCAAAATGCAGTTTGGCGCCCTCTATCGGAAAGGGAGGATGGCCCGGCGCCAAAAGCACCAGGCGATTTGGGAAGCTGCGCCTTCGCCTACAGGAGGCAAACTTCTCAGCGGCCTCCCCCTCCGCGATCAGAGAGGAAAACGGAGGCAGCGTCGACGTCCGGGGGGGGACCTGACACCGGCTGTTTCCCGCAACGAGGTCGCAATGGCTGACGGAGGAAAACGGAAGAGGCCGAAGGAGGTTCGCCGCTGCAGCCGCTATTTTTGCACTGCGGGACGCGGGATGGAGCCTTTCCTCATCGAAGAAGTGCAGGCTCGTTTGGGCGCCACTCAGGTGAGCGGCTCCGGACTCCTTAGGCCGCGCCGGGCTCGGTCGGTAAAATAACGGCTTACAAGCTCGCTTTCCTCGCCGCAGAAACTATACGGAAAGGGAGGCAGCGATAGCGGCCTTGGGTTGAAGTGAAGGCTGGGCCAATTGCTCGTTTTTACGCTCGCTACTTCAGAAAACCGTTTCCTGCAGTTAGCCATGTTTATTCAAAAGTCCCCCCGCGCGGTTTTGGCCTCCCCGTGCGATTCTCGTGTCGCGACTATGTTTGAATGACTACAGGTACTCCTCAACTTACGATCACAATTGAGCCCCGCATTTCTGTTGCGAAGTGAAAAACATGTTAGGTGAGGTTTGCCCCATTTTACGACTTTTCTTGCCACATTTGTTAAGTGAATCACTGCAGTGGTTAAATTGGTAACACGGTTGTTAAGTGACTCGCTTCCCCATTGACTTTGCTTATCAGAAGGTCACAAAAGGGAATCATAGTCCCGGGACATTACAACCGTCATAAAAGGGAATCAGTTGTCAAGTATCCAAATGTAAATCCATGACCATGGAGATGCTGCAATGGTCATAAGTGTGAAAAAGGGTCCCAAGTCACTTTTTTCACTGCCATTGTGAACAGTCACTAAGCAAACTGTTGTAAGTCGAGGACTACCTGTATGTATGTTGTATGCACCTCCCATAGCTTGCATCACATCTTACCACAGCTCACTTCAGTCTGGTGTTAGAAATCCCATTTTTAACTGCTTGTGACATTTAGGCCGTATTTATAATCATGTGCATTACCAATCTACATGTGCAAAATTTGGGTTCTAAATTCATGAGTTTTTGAGTTTTTACTCATTAAATGGCAGATGTCAGGGAAAGAAACTTAGATATTCCTTTATAGTAGGCAACTTGGAATACCTGGATGCATTGCAGTTATTGAAAGGGCAAGATTTTTTTGCTGGAATAAATAACAATAAAACAAGGTGGTCTGTGATGTTTGTACAGGTAAACTGCAAGTTTTTTATTAGTTCAGTGAGAAGTATTGTTGCTTTCAGGGATGAAGATTTTTCTCTTGTATGTGTAACTGTGCATCTATATGATAATTATAAATACTGATATATTTTTTTGCCTGGATCCAAAAGATGATTTCAGCTTTGTAGTGTAAAATCTATGTTAGTGATCAGCATTCCTTGGTTTATTGCCTAAGTCTTACACTAAGTTTAGAATAATTGTCAGTAGGAAAAATTATCTATCTTTTAATTTCCCATATTATGGGATTTATCACAGGATGATTGAAAAAATAAGCCAATCTGTAGCAAGTGGTCATAAAAATGTTTTTATTAAATATAGTGATTTGCTGAGGGCATGACTTAGAGCTTTGTGAATCGTTCAGTTCTGCTGTGAATGTAAGTTCAGAACTAAGTTCTGCTGTGTAACAACAGTTTTACTCCATAGGGAATATTATACAGAATTTCAAAAACTGTAGGGATTTCTTCATCCAGAACATTCCATAATGTGAGCCCTTAATCTCACAGCAAGGATTGTGCCAACACTCAATGTCAGATAATTCAACAGAGCTGAAGAAGCTTCTTGGATGAGAAGCAAAATGTCTTCAAAGAAAAACCAGAAAGTCCAGTTGCCTCCAGAAAAAGCACCTTTGGGACAGTCATGATCTGATAACTGAGAATCTCCATAGACATATTGGAACACTGCTATTATGTCACTCCCAGTTCTTCTTTTCACTAGACTAGACAAATCCAATTCTTGCAACCGTTCTTTATATGTGTTAGCCTCCAGCCCCCTAATCATCTTTGTTGCTCTTCTCTGCACTCTTTCTAGAGTCTCAATATCTTTTACATCGTGGCGACCAAAACTGGATGCAATATTCCAAGTGTGATCTTACCAAGGCATTATAAAGTGGTATTAACACTTCATGTGATCTTGGTTCTATTCCTCTGTTAATGCAGCCTAGAACTGTGTTGGCTTTTTTGGCAGCTGCAGCACACTGTTGGCTCATATTTAAGTGATTGTCCACTAAGACTCCAATATCTCTCTCAATGGATAAATGAAATCAGGCAAACACAAGCATCCCTCTTTGCTTTTTTTCATAGTACCCAGTGCATTTTATAAACAAGGTCAGTTGCTTGTATTAATTCATTAATAAGGATGATATTTTTTAAAAATCAACTTTCAAATATATATCCAGTTTTATTTATTGGTATGCATTCTCTTTCAAGGTAGAATATATATCGGGAAAAGTTTTCTTCAGTACCAATCTTGAGCTGAGTATGTTGAAGAAACTAAAGTCAGCTGAAAGATTATTTTTGCTGCTAAAGAAATGTCCTCCACTTTCCTTCTGTGGGAATAAAGGTAACTGTCTTCTATGTTCTTGTGTTAGATTAATACCAATTTCTTTCAACTTTAGCATCCACTAGCATTTTAGAATTAAGTGATCATTCTAATTCATGGGGGACTTATTCTCATTCAGTTTGCTCTGGCTTACAGATTAAACTGATTTGAAAGCTTTTGTTCCACAAAAGGTTTTCTTGTTGTTGTTTTAATTAGGAAGCATACAGGCATGCCAATGAATTTACCAAATCTACAAAGGAAGAAGTTGGCTTGTTACATAACTGGAGCATTGAAAGTATGAAATCTAATAGGAAATCGTGTCTTTTGTTTTAGATGTTAAATGATATAGCAAAATGTATGGACTAATAATTCACTATTTTATTTCAGGAAGAATAATCCAGGATGTTCAAAAACTTGTAAATGAGAATCCGAGATGTTGGCTGGATACAACTGCTGTCTGGAGAAGTCTTTATGATCAGTCGGCAAAGCAACTAAACTTGTGCCAAGAATACCCAGATTCCAAAAAACAGAAATTGGAAGAGGAAAAACATATTGAAGATGAAAAGCAAAAAATGCAAATAATATTAGAGACAGATACTATTAAAAATCAAATTGAAGATCAGCAAAAATGTGATACACATGATGTTTGTAAAGACATTTTATTGCCTCAGGGCAGACTTTTTCTAGAAAACACTCCTGAACTTATTCAAGACAAAACTATTGTTTCCAATAGTTATTTTAGTTTCAGAGTATCATGTCGTTGCAGTGGAATACTTGCAAAATTATTTACTGCACAGGTATGTAAAAATTATTCATTTTAAAACTCAGGAGCTACTAAGCTTCATGAAAACTGAAGGATAATATGTAGAGAACAAATTGATGTATTAAGAATCTAAATAAATCTCTTACACTTCTATAGGACAAAATGTGATGATCCGGGGCGTGACACAAAAATAACTAAGTCACAAAAATAGAAGAAAGTCCCTTTAATGCCTCCAACTTGGCCCCAATGTCCAATTATCCTCGGCAGGATATCAAACTCTTAAAGAAAACAGTTTATGGAGGGAGTAAATGCAGTCCGCACCCAAAGTAAAGTTAATTTGAAATAAAAAACCTAACACACCACACTGAAGGAATTACTATTACAGGCAAGGATGATTAATTGCAGATTTCTACCAGATAACGCAGCAACCACAGTTGGGAGGAAGCCAAAACACAGATAAGTTCCGACAAGAAT